CTGCTTAACTACTCGACCACAGAAGCCTTTATCTAGCATTGGCAGATTTGCCAACATATAGCTGGATACTACAGATTCCACAATTTCGGAGAGCTTCATTTAATATGCCATGTCTTCGTTTGTCTTCTTATTTTATACCAAATCCAACTTCACTCTTAAATTTCCATATTATCTTCCATTTGTTCAGTCATCGATAAATCCTAGTTTTCACCCTAGTTTTAAAATTTTAAGCATTCCTCCAATCGATCTTCTTACAAAATCCATTCCTAAATCAGCTATGCTATTAAATCTTAGTATCCATAAATTTCCGAACGATTACTTCCACATCTAATCATTTAAATGTTAAAGCAAAATGCGTCATTGCATTTTATTAAAGAATTTCATCTTGTCTTTTTACTATTCATTCTACATCCAGTTGTATGTCATACTTACAAGTATAAAAATTTGAAAAGACTGAATATAAATTTTGGAGAAGACAAGTAAAGAATAGGGAAGATGAAGGATGAAGGAAGAAGGAAGGGGAAGACAGTGTGCATATCATTTTAGTCTTGAAAATCCTCTGCAGCACAAAAACTTCCTACGATTTGCCATTTTAACATTACTTACATTTTGTAATCACTAGCTAAACTGTGAATGATGCATAACAGCAGCAGAAGCATGAAAAGGGAAATGATTCATATTTTTTTATTTTATTTTCGATGTGCAGAAATGTATACATATCTACTGTTGTGCATGTTGTCTAGTGGTGGGAGTGGAATTTCATTCTGTAATGTCATAAACATTCAATAACAATACAAGAAGGAATTTCACCCCTCAGCAATAATAAGAAGCAGGAATGAGACACTTTTTATAACAACACGAGACTGAATTTTATTTTTATTTCGCAAATTTATTGTTCTATGATTCATTCACTCAATAGTTGCTGCTGTTATTTTGTTAGATTTTAGTGCCAATACTTATCTTTCTCTTAAATTCTTCTTTATCGTAAAAAGTTTTTTTTATCTCAGACAATGTTTTTAAACGGAAAGAGATATTTCTCTTTATTTAGGGGTATTTCATATATGACGTCAATAAAAATCTATTGTTTGACAGACATAATTTTTGAATGACCCTACAAAAATAAGAAGATGAGTCTTTTTGTCAATTTTATTAAAGTATTTGCAAGTTTTACAGATACAACTAGCGATTGTAACATGATTGCAAGTGATGGTATTGTTTTTCAATAGCAATTTCAATCAATTTTATTGAATTCCTATTATTATGCTATCAATTTCATATAATAATCATTATCATTTTAATTTATATTTATGGAAGTATTGAAAGTTGAATCAATTAAGGAAATTATTTATTTTTGGTCAATTAAATGAGGGAAAACTGTGACTCATTCAGAATTGACTTACTCATAATATTCAATGAGTAATGCAGTCAAACTAGCAAACATTGTGGAGAATATATCATCGGTTATATAATATTTAAATCGTTTTTGCATCTAAAATTAGTTGATTACCCCTTTTTTGAAGGTTTTAAGCCCCTTTATTGAAAAATTTAGTTTAATTAAACTTATTAATAATATTACATTGTGATCATCACATTAATTATAGGAAAATTGCGCAAATCTTGAAAAAAAAGGAAAAACTCATAAAGTCAATGAAATTTGTTTTTACAGTCTATCATTCCGCAAAAATTCTTTATTCTATTAACTCCAGGACGAACTTAAAGCCATATAAAAATTAATTTCCAAGAAAAAAGAATTCTCAACCGTCTGCAAAGTGGTAAAAAAAAATTCATTGCTTTAGTAACCACGCGACAACATTTAATTACTTCCGCCCTTTGACTGTCTCTTGATTGTCTTGTTTCAGTCTTTATTTTAATATTGTTTGGGTTTAATTTGGTAATTTATGAATCTTGCCTTTATAAATAAGATAAAAACTCGGTTGACACAATAATTTCCTTTCGGACTATAAATATTTGCCTAATTCTTTCATTTAATTTCTTATTTTCTGTTGTTTACAGCACCACCACCCGTCGTCCTTTCTTGATTCTTATTTTCATTATGAATTTAATTTAATCAGTAAGAAATTACGTTGCTAATGCGACATGCTGGTCTTTAACTTTTTAATACCGATTCGGTTGAATTCTTCTACTCGTCCGTCAACAAAACAAAGAATATCCGATAAAGATTTAGACAAAGGGAAAAAGAAAATCAATAAGGAAAACTTCCATAATTTCCTTCTTTTCTTTCATAAATGATTTCGGCGAGGATACAAAGTTTGCTACATGATACCACAACCGAAATCATATTTTCTCCCTTTCTTTGCATGAGCAACGACCTCGAAGACGAAATAAGAGGAGAGGAAAAAGGCAGCAAAAAGGAAAGGATACATTAACAAGTAATCAAATCAGAAATAATAAAATCTACATTAAATAGCAGCATAGAAATTTATTTATTGAATTTTCTTCCTCGTGTTGAATTTTCAACCATTCAAAAAATAAAAATTTCATCAATGTCTTTCCAGGGTTGTTGTATAGCTATGTTTTGAGGTTAAATTTATTATTTGCAATTTTTGAAATCCATTTAAGCACTAATTTTTAAGACTTTTGCTGTGATTTCAACCCTAACCTTGACATAGTCAAAAACTAGGTTTTGACTCAATTATTCGACCAAAGTTTGTCTCGACGTTTTCCATCCCTGAAACATCTCAATGTCGCTCGCGCATTAAAGCAACAAAGTACAAGAAGAAGTCATAATAAAATGTAATAAAAACTTTAACATCGAGTTGATCCATTTTAAATATATTCGTAAGGAGGAAATAATCGCAATTTCACAATGTATACATGAAACAAATGCTCGAAAAATTATTTCAAAATTATTTAAATGGATTCTCGATGAAAACAAAACAGTTTAACATTCCGAAAAGAAAAAGGATCATAACATTAGCATTCATTACTAGTCGATTACTTTTTGTGAGACATTAAGTAACGATTTGATGATTTGTAAACATTTTTCTAAGGCACTGTTGCGAGATTCTTATCAACTTTTACTTTCATTAAGCCTGAGCTTTAATTTTTTATGAGTTTTTTATTTGGAAGCTTGGATTTTATTGCTATTTAATTTAAATTATGTTTGACTGGGCTTCTAATTAGGATAATGAGCTCAAATGGAATTTTTGTGAACCTACATATAACAGGTGGATGAGTCTGTAGAAATTGAGGCTTTTGAAAAAGCTCTCGAATGCCATAATTGGGTAGATAATTCTAATATTTATCTACCTAATATGAGCAGCATTTACCTTATTTAATCGAAAATAGCATTAAATTGCTGTAATCCGTTTACATTTGCTATATCATCCTTTTCTATTCAATATAATCAGCATGACTTTTCATCTTTTAAAGAATCTCGATTTGTAATTCATATTATAACATTCACATTTAAATTATTCAACTTACTTCCATTTCTATTTTTCAACATGGAAATTTAAAATTTATGAAAATATTCACTTCTCCCTTAGTTGCTGTGTATCTGCTAAATTTTCTCGAACTAAAATCGTGATTTAATTTACATAATTCGACATTATAGAAATAGAAATTAAACATGAGAAAATGTTTTTTCATTTTATTCTTTAACTTATGTAATGTGTTCTTAAAAGTGGAGCATTAGTGAAGAGGGTACGGAAAAGAATTTTATGTTCGCACATTACCATCGTCAGTCCTTTTTCATAATAAATTTCCTGTTTTTTGAACCAAAATTCAGTTGAAGGGAACTTTTGGTGTCATTTGGTTCTATTGTGAACAGCCTTGATCCAAATCAAGTATTAATATTTTGAAGATTTGGAAGATCTTCTTGATAATCTAAAGCCCATGTCCTATACAAACTGTGTGGTAAACCTTACCTAGGGTTGCCTTAATCATATAACTTAGAATGACTAATGTTCCCTCAAAGTTGATATAGTCTTTACCACTGAAGTACATCCTATAGTCCAGCCTAGAGATTCAAGATTGAATCTTATGGAATCCAATTTCTTCATTAAATGACTTTAAATTACAATAAATCGCAAAAAGCTCTCAAATCCAGCACAAAACTGACTCAAAGTTCGTCACTAAAAATTCAATTTCATCTTTAAAAAGTCATCAGAAAAGCGTTTCAATCTAGCAATACACCTTAAACGACCTTATAAACTTTTTTTCATTTTTTCTTAGAAAAAAAATCAAATAAAAAGAGAATCTTACAGCTGATAAGAAATACTGAGTAGTTTTTTATATTTTTTGACGACATTAGCGCGCAGTAAGCGACATCAGAGCACGCTAGACAGGAGAAGAAGAATTTCATCGCGTTGAAAAAATTGAAATAAAACAAAATGAGTATGAAATTTACTCACGTCATGGTAGATTGTAAAAATGAAACGACGGTAAAAATTGAAAGTTATTAAAATGTTCTCCCTTACTCATGACAGAGTGTAAAGTCATTTTGTCACGAAAAGTTCATTCATTGTCGTATCTTATGCAGAAATGAAACTTTTTTTTTTGCTCACTCTAGTCATTCAAGTCATAGGAAAAGGGGGTGAAATGTTAATGAAATCATTTCAATCATGTTCAAGGTGCAGGAACGTTTGACGATTTTATTAGAATTTTATGGAGTGATTCGTGTAGATTGAATTGTTTTGGAAATTAATTGGAAAATTTATAATGATGAAGGTTTGACGTTGGGAATGAGTTTATATGAATTTTGGTTTATTGATTTGAGTAATTTCAAATAAATGTAAATATATTTCGCGCCAAAATTTAAATTTCTCACCTCGAGATTAATTTTCAAAATTAAAGGCTGAATTTAAGTTTGAAATACGATTCAGTTGCATGAAAAAAGAGAAAAACATGGCAAAAACTTAGCAATCACCCAGAGAGCCTTAAAAAGGTGAATTTTAAAGAAAAACTGTGAAAAAAAGCATTGTTTATGTTTATTTGTTTACAATACTTTTTAAAAAGAAAACAACAATAATTAGCATCTCAAAAGCTATAAAATCTACAACAATAGAATTTTAAAAAATCAACAACTCAACGCTAAACAATAGAGTTACACAGCCTTGAATTCAAAATTGAAAAACTTTTTGACACAAAAAACTCTTGTCTTAGTTAAAAAAATCTTTTATTAAAATGAAAAACTAAAGCTACTGAATTGAGTTACATGAGGGGAGATTCTTTCATAGTCTTATTAATAGAGTGTTAAAACATAATTATTAATTTCATTCCTTCTTATTGTACAACTTGTTGCTGAACATCTTCAATATTCTCAATTGGCACACATCGATTACCCTTGTAGTTCTTTGCATATCCATGGCAACAATACTTAACTGGATATGGTTTAATTGCCTTCTTTTGTTTTTCCACCGGCACTTGTTCAACCTTTGTGTGTGTACAACGAATCTTTGGCCAACACCATTCATTGTATGTGGTTTTGACCAACTCTTGCTCAACAATTCGTTCCATTTCTTCTTTCATTTCAACACGTTCACAAACATTTGGACCAGAAAGAAGATTATCGGGAAGGGCGTCTATAAATAGAACAAGAAGCAGAGTGTGAGAAGATATCGATTTAAGTATCTAAGTGATAAATGAAGCATAAAAAATTTCATTCTTTCCAATTCACTTACCATATTCACAGAAATCTCCTTCATAACCATATTCACATTTACAGCGATTTGGTTCAACACAGGTGCCTTGATTTTCACATGGCTTAATACAAATTGGTCTGCAATCGTTTGTGTCTGGATCCATTTCGTAATTTTCACAGCATTGATGAAGTTTTCTAGAAAAAAAATATTATTATTTATATTAATTCATATCAATTAGAAAAGTGTGTTGTATGCCTTGTGATTTAATTCTTATCACTATATTTATTTATTTTTACTAGCACTAACCTTGTTTGAGTGACATTCTTTTTTTGCTTTTCTTCACGATAATGCGTTTCCCATTCAGTGCACCTAATTGACCAGCACCATGTTTCAACCTCGACTTGATATGGAATCCTATCAATGACATCAACCTCCTCTGTATATTCCTCTTCATGAATACAAATTCCACTGGGTCGTTCCGTTGCATTTAACCACACGCGTCCAAACGCACTCTCGGTCGTTGAACCTTCCATCATCACTTGATCAATTGTTCCATTAATTTCAATAATTTTACTTAACATACCCATCATTGTCTTCCTGTGAGCATCTTTGTTCGAGTTTGTGTCCTGATAACCTTGACACAAAACATGTGCAAATATGTAGGCATAAAATGTAATAATAAATCTACGATTCATTTCCACTATTTAGAACTTTTCACGACGACTCTCTGAAAAATACTGTCGGTCGATGCTTATTACACAAAGAAATCACTATATAGATTTTAATGTCTGAAGTCAAACAAATTTAAAATAAACTCAAAATGAGCAGGGTGCTTGATGCTTACTGCTTTATATTGCCCTTTTTCATCTGTATTTGTTGTTGTTGTTGTTGATGCTCTCTTCTTTGTTGTTTACTTATTACAATTTAAGTTTATACAATATTTGTAAAATGGTATCATCATCATGACTTATCAATGAGATTAATTTTAATTGAGCATATTAGAATAATTGAAGCTACTTCTTCTTACTTCCCCCCCTCTATTTATGTTTTGGTATTTATTTATTTTTATAAATTCATGAATGTGTTGCTGCTGTGTAGAATAATCTTCATGAATGAATTCTTATCTCTATCTTTGCTGTACTGTATAGCTATAGATAGAAACATATGTGTAGCTGTCCCTCATTTATTAACAATTCTCTCAATTCATTGTAATTAAAGATCTTTCTCTTTACTTCCATTATTTAATGATTTTTAATTATTTTGATCTTGTTGCTGTTCATCAAGTTCAATGGAAATACAAAAATATATTTTTGATGTTTGCTTCCTTTTTAAATTCGTCATCGGATATTTTTCTTTTTAATCAATTCGCTTGAATCTTTGTCATACTTTAATTTTTTTGTTGTCGCGTATTTTGTCTATGTAAATGATGCTCAATTAGTAGCGTTTCGATTGATTTGTGATTCACGTTTAGATTCTGAATTGATCTAACTTGAACTGCGTACGTCTAGATGTTTATAAAATAGTTTATAGGAGATTGAACAACAAGATTGAAAGATCAGATTTATAAAATTGAATTCCTGTTAAGCAAATTGCGCCAAAAAGAAGAAGAATCACTTAGAATTGATCCAAATACAAAAACACTTAGTTTGAATTTTGTCACCCTCGGGAACACTATGAACCAGTATAGCTGATTTTGGTCCAAATCTCGGCCATACTTCACACTTATTTGAACCACATTTTCTCGTAAATGTTAAAATATTATTAAAAAGTAATTAATCCTGAATTATTTTGCTATTTTGTCAAGTGATTTAAGATAAAGAATTTGTTTTTTGGTTTCCACAGTGAAGAGTATGAACAAAATTCAGATGGGGTAGTCGAAATTTTAGATTTTGATTTTTTTAAGTTATGCATTACAAAAAGTAATATTGGTATGTGATTTATGTCTGGATTATGTCAATTCAAAAAAAACATCCAAAAATTTTTTTGAGCAAAGAACCAAGTAGGAAATACATTTTCAATTATGAACTTGGGACAGGTCTAGTCAAAATCTAGTTTTTTACTTGGTTCTTTGCTCAAAAAAATTTTAGGATGTTTTATTTGTATTTGTTTTAAGCACTAGAATATTTATGCAAAGTTTCAATCCATTTGGATAAACCCTCGAAGAAAAAAGTGACAAAATTGATTTTGACTAGAGTCGCCCTTAGTCCAAAATTGAAAATTGATTTTCTATGGTGTACTTTGGTCAAAAAAATTTTTGGGTGTTTCTTTTGAATTGACATAATTCGGACATAAATCACATACCAATATTATTTTTTGTAATGCATAGCTTAAAAAAAATCGAAATCTAAAATTTCGACTACTCCATTTGAATTTTGTTCATACTCTTTACTGTGGAAACCAAAAAACAAATTCTTTATCTTAAAACACTTGACAAAATAGCGACATAATTCAGGATTAATTACTTTTTAATAATATTTTAACATTTACGAGAAAATGTGGTTCAAATAAGTGTGAAGTATGGCCGAGATTTGGACCAAAATCAGCTATACTAGTTCATAAAGTTCCCGAGGGTGACAAAATTCAAACTAAGTGTTTTTGTAGCTGACATACGTACTTCACGCCCACCTAAAATTAAACTTTTGAAAAAAAAGATCCAGAAAACCATTCAAAACTTCAATTCCACTTTTAGTTTTCTAATTGCCTCCTTAACATACCTAAATGTTTGTTTATTATGACAAACGGTACACATTTGGCCATGAAATATTACAGCTGACGTCATATTAGTTCATGATACTAGCAAAAAGTTTGTTTTTCTTGTTTTTTCGATGTTTCAAAAGAAAATGTTTGACTCATTTAAGTTCTTTGGAAGTTTTTTTTCTGCTGTTTGTACAAACAAAGAACTTTTAATTGCAGCAAAGTTTATTCAACGAGATAGTTTTATTAGTTTCTAGAGCATTTAAGTTTATTAAATGCGATCTGATAAAAATCTTTAGATCTAAATTAAATTGAAAGTGAGCTTGGATTCATTTATTCGCATGAGAAAGCATCTCTAAACTTTCAGATTACCTATTTTACACCGAAAATCCATCCGAAAAACCTCTTTGATGAAATTTTCCATTCCAAATATTTCACCTACTTACCCAACCATCACAGCATTAATCACTGATCAATAATTTCTCATTTCATTCTACTTCCATGCATACAAATCGTATCTATGCGCTCCTATAAAACCATAAAAGCCTCAAACGCGACTTTGATGATCAAAATCGGATTTACTCTTTTTTTTTCCCTTCAACATGTGAAAGTATTTATAAATGGATTTAAAACACGAGACTGTGCTGAAATTGAAATGCGACACGTTCAGCACTTTTTTCTCGTCTATAAGAGAAACAATTTTATGCGAGACATTTTTTTTTTGTTGCTGAGCGAAAGGAGATGCATGGAAGAGGAAAGCATGAAAAATTGTGAATTGGATTTTAGAATGAATTATTTTGGCGGGAAAGAGGCGCACTTTATGGGATATAACATATGGTGCAAGGCTTTGACTACATTTTGAATAATCCCCATGAGTACATCAGTGCCTTCAAAGTTCAGGCTACTCCAGGCTACAATATAGTAGGAGTATATGATGTGTTGTATGTCTAAAGCTTCCAGCTATAGCTAAGTGCTTCTTCAATAGTCATCTACATTTCCTAGGTTTCATATCATAACCTCCAAAACTTAAACCTACCTCTAATTTGTAAACTAGGATATACCCGAATGAAGGAGCAGATGTTGGCACTTAGGATTACGTAAAGGTATAATAGATTCATATCTAAGGTGTAGCGGAATAGGTTTATTTGAAAATTTTGCGAGGAATCAAACCTACTTCATCATAATAAATAAAATCTGTCGTCAAATAATTCAACTAAGGAGTTGTGACTAAATCTAGTTCAATTCCCAAGATTCTCCTCCTTTGGAACAAGATCAAAGACAAAATGCACCCATCGACGCCAACTTCCCTTCAACCTGTCATAAAAAGGAAAACAGATGAAAATAAATCAAATAAAAATGAAAATCATAAAAATTGGGTCAAAATCACACTTTTGTTTTTTCTCGTTCCTTCTTTTTCCATCGTCATCATCATCATTGACATCATCTTATGTACATAACGATACATCGAGCATATGAAACAAAATTCCATTTTCTCTGAAGAGGTGAACTTTACATTTCAAATAAAAAAAACTTTTTTTAAATCCTTAACACAATTTCACTCGTAAATTTAGAAACTTTTCTCTCAGGGAAATAAAAATGAAAGGAGGAACCAACCTTATTTACAAAGGAATCACAGAAAAATAAATCTCCATTAAATATTCTGTAAACGTACGTGTGTAGCAGTTGAACAAAAAAAAAATAAAATACACCAAGCTGCCGGCATTAGTTTCAGTCATGTCTTTCTCTTTTTTCTTTGTTTTAAGCATACAGTAAATTATATAGCATGGGCAAAACTAAATGGATGTTTTTATGTTCAATTGTGCGATAGCGAGTGCAAATATCAACACTATAAGTATTTTAAGTGGATGAACATGAGATGCATATAAATGACTATATGGATGAAATGAAGAAGTAATGCAATGCAGTTAAAAGCAATTCTTCCGCTTCGATTGAAGGAATCAATTGCAATTAAATCATTTCAGACAAACACAAATGCGTGGAGCAGTTAAGATTAGAAATGGAGAACAAAATCGATAAATTGCTATGCATTGAAGGTATTGTCGAGAATTGTAGTTGTGGCAGATGCATTCAGACTTTTTAAACCAGGCATTTTAAGACACATGATAAAACCCATTCTAAGAAGCATGTTACATCGACAACATTTCATGAAAGGAATGAGTGACAGCACAGTTTCTGGTAGGAATTGAACCAAAGTTCTCGCAAAAGACTTCTGATCTGTTGTCTAACCACTTGGCCACTGAGGCCTTACCCTGCACTGGCAAATTCTCATAAATATGGCTCGAAACCACATTAGCTTTAGGTACTTTAAAATAAGCTAGTTTGTCTCCTGAAGCCTTAAAACCAGGGGCGTAGCCAGAAAAATTTTAAGAGGGGGGGGGGGGCATTTTCGAAAATTAAAAAACCGTCATTTTGTATCCTTAAATCTATATTCATTCTTCATAAGTTTAAATATTTAATTCATTATTCATACATTAAATTCAATTTTCCGTGCTGATTTTGACATTTCTTTCATCACTTCCTCTACATTAACTGGTTCTTCTCTATAAATACTTAATAAAACAATTATCAGATTTTCGTAGGGGGGGGGGCCTATGCCCTATGCCTCCCCCCCCCCTGGCTACGCCCCTGCTTAAAACTTCAGATTTGACTTTCAAAAAACTTTTTAAAAGGCAAATAAAATTTGAATTTTTCCAAATGTTTCACCAATAAGTTTTGAAATTTAAATAACCGTTAATTATTTTGCCAATATTTCCAGCCGTTCCCCAAAAGTTTTAAGCGAAACAAAAAAATCCACATGTCATAGAAAAAATATCTAAAATCATTGTCGACACTTGTGTTTCAACACAGGATGCTGAGTGGAGTCAATTAAAATTTCATAAACAGATTTTAAGCTAAAGTGAGGGTGGAAAAAAAATTATGGCAAAACTTTTCAGCGCCTTTTTTTCCCTATTTTTAAAAATTCTTGATTATTCATGATTCTCGTGCGTCTATAAATGTAAAAGCAATATACAATCAAAAACACGTGAATTGTGGAAGATGAAGAAATCTACAATTTAAAATGAGTTGTTTGTACTTGAGAGGAAAAAAAGAAGTTCTCGAAGAAGAAAAAAAGTTCTTATAAAATATTGCTGTTGTGGAAAATTTTGTTCGGCTTTTCCTCTCAAGTGGAATTGTTGAAGAAAAAAGTTTATACGTTGAAAATTTTTATGAATTCTTTTTGGGTTTTTTTGTGCGCAGAACAACTTTAAAGTCATGAATTTAATGAGGAAATTATTAGGTTCAGTGTTGGAATTTAGAAATTTAATTAAGATGAATGAAAATGTTGTTAATTAATGTCTGTGATATTGATAGACAAATCTGACTTTTTAATTATATTAAGATTAAAATGTAATTTGAACTTTTTAAATTCGTACAGTTTTAGGCTGCAAAAGGTGTTTATGAAATCGTTAAATATGAAGCTTTATGACCAAATACTCATTCTATTTATGTCTTGCCACTTTTTTGCATACAAATGTATCATAATCTCTTTAAATAAGCAACTCTAGAAGAAATAATGAGCAAAAAACTTTTCGAAGTGGAGAAAAAAAATTAAATTTAATTTCGAATTTAAAAACACTAAACACTCATTTAAATTCATTGTTCTGCCATAACTAATATCCTGATTCATTAAATTCTTTAAAAAGAAGGATTTAATAATTCCATTACAATCAACTTCATTTCTAATCTGTCAATCAGCTCAAAATACCAAGAAATAATAATAATAACTTAACGATGAAAAAAAATCAATTCCGAAAATTTCATCATTTCGAGCACTCCAAACAAATTATCCGTGACTACATCTTAAACAATATCCAAGCAACGAGAAAAAATGAAAATTTTCAATAGACGAAGAAAAGAAAAATAAAATATTCAACTTTATTAAAAAGCAATTACGAAAGCTGTTGTGTTATGCTTAATTTTTTGTTTATTCAGTTCTCTTTCTGCTTCTTAAATGCTTAAATTTATCAGTTTAAAATGTTTTTAATTTTCCACTTTTTTTTTATGTGTTTTGTTTCCGTTTCAATTCATTATCTTGAGCCTCATTCCTAAAGCATGTTGACGTCTTAGATGGAGGAAGACGGAAATTTTTTAAATCAGGAGAAATTTTTTGTGACTTTTTTGAAAGATTTCAGCTTTGACTTGACGAGGATTACGAGGAATAAAAAGTTAAATGAGAATTATAATTAATTAACATTTTCGGTGTTATTTTTGGAATGTCTGAAAGAGAATCTGATTCTCTAAACACATAAATTCCACCGACACGCAATGTAAAAGTAAACATGAAAAGCAAAGTAAATACATATAAAGTTAATTTAATTAAAACTCATCAAATCGGATCAAATCTCAGTATCGAAATTCACAAAAATTCTTTTTTCAATAAATAATACACGAGTGCAGGTGAAAGGGTTTATGTTTTTTTTCTATTACAAATGTGGTCATCTAAAGTACAGAGACAAATAAGCATTTTACAAAATTTTCAATTAAAGTTCAAAAAACATTTGAAAAAATAACGGTTGAAAAATATTTGAAACTTTAATGATCAAAAAATATTTGAAAATTTCAAAAAATTAAAAAAATAACAGTCGAATTGCTAAAACTGAACATATTTATAGCTTTTGATACAAGCAGTAAATCGGACATATTACTGATACTTCACCATTTTGCTTCATTTAAATGGATTTTAAAAAATAGTCAGCTTTGAATTTGAAAAAAGAACCATTCAAACCAGACATGACCATCGGATATACGAATAAAGAATATAGAGGAAAATGGAAAAAGCATTTTATGAACTTAAGCAGTTGAAAATTGCTATCCAACTACATTCGGATCCTCATAAAAATAGTTGATTGGGTATTTCAATAATATAAAAAAAGCATTGGATGAAAAAAAAGGTTTAATCAAATTTTTTTCAATCATGTGCTGAAAAATATTAAAGGTGCTTCATGCTGCTTTTTTTTTGATTAAAGTTATCTTTAAAGCGTATTGAATTTTGTAAATTTCAATAACTTTTATTATGTGCTTAATAATGATTGATTTGATTTTTTGTGAATATTTTCAACAAGTTTGAAAAAGTTTTTTAAATTGAATTTTATGGACAACATTTTAGGGGCCGTTCACTTATGACGTCCAAGGGGGGAGGGGGGGGGGGGGGTCAGCAAGAAAAGAACAATAGAAATTCCTGGAAATCCATTGTTCTTTTTTGAAAAATGACCGTTTATTTCGGACGTCATAAGTGAACGACCCCTTATGAAGTTCCATGAAATTTACGGCACATTGGATTTATTTGACTCTGATTTGTAATAAATTTTAAGGAGTTCAAATGGTTGTTTAGTTTGATTTGATGATGCTTTAAAATCTGATGACTGTGATGTTCAATAGTTCAGAATGGAATCTGTGGTATCGAACTATATGAAGGCATATTTGCCAAGTGCAATTGTCATCAACTTTTTTGTATGTACTAGTATGTAGCTAGTCAATTAAATTTTTTTTTTCGAAAGCTATCATCAATTCACAGAATATCCTTTTCGCGTTATGTCCAATCATAAAATGCTTATTTTTCTATCATAATTAGGAACAGATGACTAGTTCCACCAAAAATTGATCTTTTTTTTCATTTCATTGACTTTTATTAGCACTGCTATATAGTTTGGAAATGAATTGATTCGTACCAAAAGCAACTGACAAAAAACTATTAAATAGTCATCTCATCGTTTGTTTTATAGCTTTTTTCTTCTGACTGTCGATGGAATCCTGCAACAGTAAAAGCCATTCTAATTCGATTTCAAAATAAAAAAATTTTTATTGGATTTTTTTTTCAGTTTTCTCAATTTTCGCAGATAAAAAAAGAAAAGCTATGCAAATCCCAAATGTGAACTGACTAACAACAATAGCTATAGCTTTATACCTCACCAATATCTACAAAAATAATGTTTTGTAATAAAAAAAAAGTTGTCTGGACATTTTAAACAATTTCGTAGTCAAATCGGAATCCAATTTCCTCTTTCGTTGGTGCCTCATAAAGTGTATCGGAATTGAAATAAATCATGAATGGACCGAGAGGTGAGCTTGTTATCAGATGTGAAAGAACACTTTGGGCACAAAATCGAGTTGCACGGAATGGAGGCTGAGTGTCTGTGGCATCAGCCATTGCATTTGGTATGAAGAGGTAGTCTTCTGGTCGACCTGGTGTTGGAGTTGTGGAATAGCATGCTTCATCATATCCTGTATTGTTTGCACTTACTACTGCATATCCCATACGGAAAATCATTGGAATGAAACTGTAAAATAGAACTGCTATGTTAAGCATGTTTGAGAATTTTACAACCTCTTAATTCTCACCTTATTGCTGTATTTGCACGTGTTCGACGGAAACAGATTGCATAATGCATGTCAGCTATGTATGGCCCTTAAAAAGTCAATGAAGTTGTTGATTGAAAAAAAACATAAATATATTTCTAAACATCAAACAGTTCCCTAAACTCACCAATTCCGTTATTCAAATTGAAACTCTCGACTGTTCCATTTGCATGTGGAAAATATTGTAAACATCCCTGTGGTGCTACCCAATCACTAAATAATCCCAAACGAGGTTGTCGAATTGGTAAAATTGAATCGTTTTCAGATGCTGAGATTGCATTGCTGCTTTTTACTCCTCTCGATTGACCTAATGGACATTCCAATTGATGCACTGAAATTCTCCATGTTGAGCGTTGATTGAAATTATTTGGCATGCTTCGTGTTGTGATTGTCATTTCGAGGAATCTTTCACCTCTTAATGGGTTGATTGGAACGTAGACTAAAGATGAGATTGTTGAGTTGTTGCGATTTGAAATGCAGAAAAGGTTATTAGCTTCATAATGTACATTAAATGAAAAATTTTGGGACTTGAACCTGAATGACTTTTCAATTATTTAAATAATTTTGGACAAATCCTAATTTACTGAAATATTTAAATGACAAGAACGCTTTTACATATTAAGAGGACAGAAGCGTTTCCAAGAAAGAGATGGGAGGGGGGGGGGGGGGATTAGGAGAAAAATGCCCCTTCTTATGAAATGTTTTCAATTTGCAATTACAAAAAAAAAATATTTTTGCAATATCCTAGCACATGACATAGTTGTGTTGGTTCAAAAGGTTCAGACAGCCTTAACACATGTAGAACCTCATGTATATTTAAGTATAATTCACTTATGGTGCGATGGTACCTTAAGAACCCCTTATTCCCTTATTACTACATTATCTCCAGTTTCAGTAGTCTAAGCCACATAAGCTATCACAAAACATAACCTCAAAACTAAGGATATTCAAAAATTCAATAAAATATCATACCCTCTATTATTTTACATGCAAAAAAATCATCAATGTCTACAAAAACCAAATATATTCAACATCACATCCAGTAAAAAAAATCCCTCATGGGCAATAAATGAAAATCAAATATCATAAACCACTACGTACAGTGTTGACCATGATTGACACCACAAAGTGTAACGTTGCCAACAGTCATGGACTCATCGACACATCGTGGAAACGGCGAAATCTCAGGTGCAAGTAATGAAAATTCTGTTAATTCAAATCTCATTTGACAAATGAATCCGCTTATTGCATGAATTTTATATGTGCATGTTGTTGGAACTGGCTGATTCGGACGTGTGGTTGGCACTAAATTGACATTACGTATAAAACTATTTTGACCACACTGTATGTTGATTAATGGATCTAAAAATACACAGATTTAAATTCACTTTTGGATTTTCAATTTCACTTTTTTTTCATGTCAATTTTTGACTTACTCGGAAGTGGACGAATTTGTTGACAGGAATATAAATTGAAAAATCCCACAATGGTTAAAATGAAATCCAATTTTCTCATTTTTAATAATTTATTTTTTAATATTTTTTTTTTATAAAGTCACTCCACCGAAAATTCTATTACAATTAATGGCTAAAATATTAATGAACAATTATCGATTCCTGATGCACGAATTTATACTTCACAGATAATTTTAACATTGAAATTTTATTTTTTTTTGGGTAGTTTACAAATCATTTCGAACGTGTCAATTAGTTTAAACATTTCTGACATTCCTGATAAGAGCGACAAGATAATTAAGTTATGTTTCTTTTCATATCACGTATGTTTTGTGAATTGCTCATATTATCGGTGATTGCAGTGATTGCTTACATAGATATTAGAGAATTGGATACGACAAGCATGACAAGGTGGAATGTTGCTTTGTTTCTTATTGGTTTGTGACTGAAATTGACTGGAATAGCTGGAATCAGTCTATTCTTCGATACCTCTTGAGACTTAGAGCTGAAGCTATTCGAATCTAAAGAGTGTTTCAAAAGATTAAAACTAATGTTGATTATGCTTTCAACCAATCGAATAGTTCGTCTAAGCTTCAATGAAGAATTTAATTGAAATATTTAACCAAAGTATCACATCTAAATCTGTTACATAACTTAAGGTTCTGAACTCATAACTAGCTTAAACTTCTCAAGTAAATTCACTCTAACAGCACGCGAAGTATCAATTTCAGAGTCAACTGGATATTTTCCGTGTCGTCTCAGAGTCAATGCGACTTGACTTGACTCAGAATCTAATCAAAATCAAATTGAATTGATTCGAGTCATCAGTTCAGTTACACACACTCTCCAATTCACATAATTTTCAAATTCTCTTACAAAAACACCAAATCTTTAAGGAATCAAACCTAAATCGCATACATAGAAAGCAAACTCTTTGCCAATGAGCTACAAATGCAATTTCAATTTCCAATTCAACTTACAATGAGAACTATAAGTACCTAGATATTAAGAACAGCATTGAAAAAAAATTCTGCTTGAAATGAGGTGCAAATTGCATGTGAACTTGTCCTAGACACACAAAAAAATAATAATCATATTTTAAAAACTTGCTACATGAGGAACCTTGACACACTGAACTGCTGACAAAACAACTTTATTTACAAAAAATAACATTTAGTCGTATTAAGGAGGAAATCAGTGATAAGAAGGAACTACGTAATTTCCTTTTTTTTATTTCCACAAATAATTTCCTCAATTTTATTTACATCACAGTTTATTTCACCTTTCCGAAACCGAAACGATGTGCTTGGATGGAATGAAATTAGATTTCTTTACATTTCTCATTCACTGTCTGCAAAAGCAATTTTCCTTCGAATGATTTTTTTTTATTCTTGCTCAGGATGTGGGGGGATGAGAAGGTAAAGCAAGCCGAAAAAATTCCAACAATCTGCGAAAAAGAGAAAAGAAAATCAAATCTGAAATCAATGCAAATTAGTTGCCTAGATCTGATTTAACCGCAGTGCTATATAATGTGACTAAGAAGCAGGAAAAAAATTCCCAAACCTTCACTAAATTATGCAATTTCCTTTTCAGCAATGCTGTTCCTTTTATTTTGGTTCGCTTTGGATGAGCTGAGGAAAGATTGGTTCGGTAACGTGTGGCTTACTAAAGCGCATTTTTAAGAATTAACGGTCAAAAAATATTTGAATTAAGTTCTTGAAAATTTAAAAACTGTCGGTTAAAAATGTTTAAAGCCCCTTCAACTCTCTAGCTCTGTTTTTCCAAACCTTTCTTACTTTGACTTCCTCGAATCCACTCAATAAGCCTAGTCCTCACTTTCAAAGTTTACGAAGAAATTGAACTACGCAATTTAGAATTCAATATGTCAAGTAATTTTACGCACGCACTTTTACGTAAGAAAAGCTCACTTCAGAAAGTATTTTGGCTGGTTCCAGTTGAGGAACTGACTAATCTATAAAAGCTATAGCTCTTTCTTTTCTCTGGAATAGCACACTCAATGAAAACATAAAACTGCATTAAAAATGTTGAATCTATATCAGATTAAAATAGAATTAAGCTGCAGCCACACAGACAGACAAATTATAGGAGCATTCCAACATCTAAAATAGCACCAAAAAATTATTCAAGCAGCAGCTGCAAATTTGTTTTCGATTATTTTTTTCATTCGCCTCAATTCTACACATTCTCAATATTCTATCCAATGTGAAGCAACAAGTTTCACTCTCGTTTTTTTATGCCATTCCATTCCTTTCTTTCCACTCTGTCATTTTGTTATTCTTCTTTTATCCTCGCACTAGCTCTTCACTGGCATGTGATTATGTGTTATGAAGAGCATTTATGTGCAATAATGCGAATATTAAAAGGAACAAATTTTTTTCATACTGCTGCAACTGATGCTTCCACTTAAGATTACACTCAATGATATGTCACTTGACAATCTTATATAATTTGCATGTTGGATGAGTGCAGTCATATACTGAATGTTCTGTTGGCATGCTTAATTTATGAATCACTGCTTTTTTTCCGGGGAAGTGCTTGTTTTTTGAGGGCAATAAAAGAATTATGTATCTAGAGATGTCAATTGAGGCTGTACAAATATTTTGATGTAAAACTTGAGGATGTGAAGTTGAAGATTTGTTGTTTTGATGTTTGATAAGTTTCTGATATCATGAATTTGTTCTTTATGGAGCTATAGTTTTTGTAAGCTCCTGTCAGTTGGATCTCATTATTCAGTATGCTTCATTCATGAAATTGTGACTGAAATAACTTCTAATGGATTCTCCTGCTGTATTCTTATTGCTGTAAAAGATACAGCATGGCTATGTTGAAGAAAACCTTAACCCAATCCACAAAAGTTGACATTTTTGCTTGATATTCATTGTTTCAACAAGTACAGATCTGTTCCTTAATAAATTTCCTCAATTGAAAAGTTTAGAATCCTTATTAAGGCCACATGCAATTTTGTAGACATCAAAAATAAGATTAAAGTACAAAATTTCCTCTGCAAAGGATCTGCAAGCTGCTTCAATATTCAGCAATAAACCAATCTCGAAACAAATCAATTTTCCACATTAATTGAAGTTGTCGCTCGTGCCTAACAATTCATTTACTCCACTCAATCCAGTTTCAATTATTTTCAAGCAACAATAGAGTTTTGAAGCATTCTCATCTCCAGAAAAGAGCAAATAGCAATTAAAAATTGGGAAACAACTAAAAAACATTTTCCATTCAAAAACAAAAAAAAAATTGAATTCCATTTTAAGCTGTTGCACCAATGCAATATTTCCGAATCAATGCAATAAAGTGGAAAACTTTTCAGTTCTTTGCCGTGCTTTTGGTTTAATCGACCACTTAAGCTAAAGTTTGTTCGCTTCCATCCATTTGTTTTGAAGTAAGGAAGGCGCACATATACAATCAAGATATAAACTTCTTTCCTAAGTGCACTCAACGTAATGGTTGTTTGCCGGTTTGTTCTTTAACGATGATTTCTTTCCCCATTGAAGTAGAAAATATTTCTTTTTCTTTCCATCTCTTCCGTCCTCAATGTTCAACTTTAAAAGAAATATTGAAAAAAAGGGAATCAAAATGTTGATGATGATGATGCAAACTTTCTTTTTTTAAAGGAAAATATATTCTGGGATGGTAGGAATAAGATGCTCAAGTAGAAATAATTTTAATGGATTTTAAACTCGGTTGTCTGCACTTATCCAACTAAATTCTTGGCGAACTTCATCATTTGTCATCAGTAAATGGAATGCAACCGAAATTGAATTTTCTTCGGGCTGTTTTATGTCCTGAACTTTTCTTGTTTCCTGCTGTGTCCTTGTGAAGATTTTTATGTTGGATTATCTGGACTTAATAAGGAATTCGATAGCAACATGCTCTGAAATTGACTTCTTAATTGAGTTATTGAATAAAAATTTCATTGATCAAAGAAATCTGATTTTTACTGCAAAGTTATTCTGTCAAAAATTTTGTGAAAGAGAGTCGTGTTAATTAATTTATTGTGTTGAATATTTTCTATTGTTCTTTTATTTAAGGTTTTAGAACGGTCTTTTTGATTCAAATTCAATCTACCCTGTTTTTTCGTTATAAGCTCCTACTCGTTACTAAGCTACTAGCTTAGTAAAGTTTTTTTGAACTTGAAATTTTTTTGTAGTCTTTACTAAGCTACTACCCCAAATAAAGTATAATTAATCTTTTTCAACTTTCTAAGTATCAGTTCCAATGCCTTATGACATTTTCAATGAAATAAAATCGAGAAGATAGCAAAATTTCTTTAATTAAGTTAAATAATTCCAAATTTTCATTGAAGTTTAATTTCTTTACTAAGCAACTACTCGTTACTAAGCTACTAGTGATCAGAAAAAATCACTTTTTTATTCTTCTAAGCTACTAGCTTATAACGAAAAAACAGGGTAAGCCAAAAAAATCACTTTTTTATTCTTCTAAGCTACTAGCTTATAACGAAAAAACAGGGTAAGCCAAAAAAATCACTTTTTTATTCTTCTAAGCTACTAGCTTATAACGAAAAAACAGGGTAAAGCGAATTCATAAGAATTTCCTTACTCCTCAGTGTTTAAAGTTTTACATAAAAATGAGTGAAATTCCATAAAATTGAGTCAAACCATCAGTTTGAATGACGATGTTTGACTAGTAAGCCATCTTAGTAAGTATTCTTTGATTTGTGACTGAATACTTATTAAATCTTCTTCATTTTGTAGGCAAATTTATAAAAAAATCAAAATGTGTTCTACTGGATCTGGAATATAATAATAAAATAATTCTAGTAATGGATTCACTGCTTCCAAACTCGAAATCAACCAAAAACCTTACAAGGATCATTTTTAGAAGACGAAGAAAAAAATCGTAGATAAAGTTTTTCCACTAAATTTCGTGAAAACTTTAGATTGAGATTGAAATGCTCCGACAAGAAATGTCTTTCAAAATTTTTGTTCACAACACATAAAATTGTACATACATGTGGAGGGATGAGAACCAACAGAACACTTCAATTTAGTGAAAATATCGCATCTCCATCTGAAAAGAATAAACGACAGATAAAAAAAAGCATGAAAAAGAAAATATTAAGTTTTGACGCGCTCTAGAAAACATGAAAACTTG